TCATGATAGTGATTTTTAATGCAAATAGCACATGTATACGTATATATGTATCATAAATAAATATGGATATCATATTTCAATATAAAGAATATAAAATGCAAAATAAATAAATAAATGAAAAAGTTATTAACTCATTTGCTGTACTTTTCTCCCCGTCAAATACTCTCAAAGTACCGTAAGTGTGGCACATCTAAATCAATACACACAGAGTCTCACATTGATGGGGATTATCTCACTACAATAGAATTAAGAACAACTCCTTACTTGGAATGACCGAGAATATGAAGATACATACAAGATCTCACGTTGATGGGGATTATCTCACTACAATGGAATCAAGAACATTTTCTTATTTGGGATGATCGGGAGTATGAAGATTAAATACTATGAAGAATAGCAAACAAGTTGCTAATCTTCTTGGATGTGTACGTGGGGGTTAGGGTTTTTCTTTTCTCTCATTTATAATCTTTCTTGGTTTGTTATCTCTTACATACAATGAACCATAAGTCTCCTTTAAATAGTCACTAAATATTGGATTAGTAGGCTATCCCTGGAATATTGTATTCCAGTTTAACTTATTCTCTGTCGGTTTAACTAATAACTAATTCTAGACCCATTTGGGTGTTAGCCTAATTTGGGTCTAAGTTTAATTATTAAACCCATTTATAAAATTTTCTTATTTGGACATAATTTTTTTGATTAGTTAATTTAATTAATCAATAATTAATTTATCTAATTAAAAAAATACCGTTTTAATAAATTATATTAATTAGTTCATTAAGACTTTCTAAAAACTTTAATATTCTCATTAACTCTTTAATAAGAGAATCCTTTAACTCCCATCAAACTTAAAAATCCATAAGTATGTAACCTTTATAAATTCATTTACCGATTGACTTTTGAAAATCGCGGATGTAATTAAAATTGCACTATCTCTAGGGGGACGGGAATTAAAAACCCGAATTTCTCTGTGCCCCAACTCCTGCCTCCCGGCCCGGGCAATCTGAACCCGGACCATAGCAGTTTAAAATTTCAGCGCCCGCGCTTTTTAAAACCCCTAGAAATCAGTTTTAGTAACCCTCAAACCCATCAGTTACGAAGAACAATCCAAAAAAACCTAGAAAATGGCCCAAGCCGCGAGGCTAAACCTGAGAATGCAAAAGGAACTGAAACTTCTCCTCAGCGATCCGCCTCCTGGCTCCTCCTTTCCATTTCTCTCCGCCGACTCTGACCTCACCTCACTATCCACCATTCATGCCCGTATGATTCCCTTTTCTCTTGTTTTCTAGATTACCTTATTTGTAGTATTCAGTTTATAACGTGGTTTATTTATTTTGTTGCCGCAGATATTGAAGGTCCTCAAGGCACCGTATATGCTAAAGGGGTTTTTGAAATCAAAATTCAAATACCTGAAAGGTGTTCTTAACTTAAATTACGATTATATTTTTGGAGTTTATAGAAATTTGATATGAATATTATTTGCTGACGTTTTTAATTGTTTTTTAAAAATGTATTTTCAGGTATCCGTTTCAGCCTCCGAGTGTGACCTTTGCCACGCCTATTTACCACCCTAATATTGACAACGGTGGCCGAATATGCCTTGATATTCTCAATCTTCCCCCAAAGGTGAGTGAATCCCATTACTGTATTGGAATTATGAATATCTGAGTTATTCTCTGGGTTAATTTTGCCATGCCCTTTGATTGTTGGTGTGGGTAAGTAAGCTCCTAATTATTTTTCAGCTAGTTATAGGCATAGAGGTTAAGAGTAAATATGTGACTTTGATGGTGTTTGACCCGCAAGGTCCTATATTGGAATGGAAAATGGAGCAAATTTGCTATAATTTCTAAGGTTCTTCCATACACGTGTCAACTTTTTTATTGCACTTGGTGCCCTTGAATCTAGTCTAGGAATTTTTGAATAGGAATTTAAGGTTGTTTCCTTCAAAAAATAGGAAAAAACGACTTGGTTGCAACTCTCAATCTTCCACATGTTTCTGCTGGAAGCTTAATTTTCGTAAACACTGCTTGTTTTTTGGCCCTGGAATTTTGACCTATATACTGCAATGGCTCAACACATTTCTGCAGTGATCTACTAACCAGGTCAATCAGAGTTTAAACTCTAGGATTCTGTTTCGATGAACTTGTGCAGATTTGAGTCTTTTAGTTTTGTTCCTTATCTTTGTAAGAGTCACTATTATTTCTGGCATGATGAACTAGCACTTAAAAGGGATAATAGCCAGAAGATTAAACTATTTCTCCTTGTTACAACAACATCATCCACTGAATTGACAAGATCGACTGATGATCTGCCAGATTGGGAGGTTTTAATTGTCATTTGAATATTTTCAATGGCTTGGACTCCCGGGCATGTTGTTTCTCTATTCAATTTGCTTTATCGTAAAGTTTCTGTTTCTTTCATAAATCTAATTTTTGACAAAGGTATTTTAATAAAAAACAGGGGGCATGGCAACCATCCCTGAACATCTCAACTGTGCTTACAAGCATAGGGTTGTTACTGAGTGAACCAAATCCTGATGATGGACTCATGTGTGAAGCGGTTAGTTTTATACCCATTGATTGTGTGGGCAGCAATTGTGAATTTGAAAGAGTCTTTTTCATGTGATATGTTTTGACTGGATGCACAGAGCAGGGAATACAAATATAACAGACAGGCTTTTGACCAAAAAGCTCGATCAATGACTGAGAAGTATGCAAAGGCAGGAGTTGCTGGGAATAATTTCAGCAGTCAAGGCGTTCCGAACTTGAATTCTACTGTGGTATAGTGACATGAAATTTGTCTACTGTTATTGATTTTGTGAAATATTATATTTTTTTTGATACTGAAATATCTTACTTCAGGCTGAAGTTAGAGGATCAATAGAGTCAAGACTTGAAGTCAGTGAATTAGTTTCAAGTCATAACAATCAATATGGTATCAGCCGGAAGTTGTCGCTGGAGTTTTCAAGCTCAAGCCAAAGCCAAAATAGGGACAATGATGTGGAGGTGAATGAGGTAAACAGTCAGCACCCACCCTCTATTTTTGTCTTTCTTTCGAAAACCAGATGGATGCTAAAGAAAAATGAACGAGGTCAATATTACTTTTGATGTCCTGTTTCTCTCTATCTTTGCAAAACCAGATGGGAGCTAATGGAAAAAGGAAGGATATAAGTTTCACTCTTGATGACTTTAACTTGAGACGTGAGAAGCTATGTGGAACTAGGCGGAAGCTATCACTGGAATCCTCTTGTCAAATTCTGAAGCAAGACGGTTGTGTCATGGAAAATGTATTGCCAAATCAGTTTCCACTGTGTAGCCCTGAAACCATTTCTGTAACTTCTTCAGGATCATCTTTGCTGCACGCCAGCAATTTTAGACAGCAAAAACATCATAACAGGGAATTAAAGAATGGTAGCATAAACACTAGCTCGAAGCATCTGTGCGAGGATGACCAGGAAAAGCCGTGGAGATCTTTGGATAAATTCCAACTAAATGATGATAATAATGAGAAAATCTTTATCCAGCCACAGGTATTGCCCTCCCAGTCACACCTTAAATCATCATGTGGAGCACAATCAATGCCCCTGTCCATTAACTGTAATGAACTAGAGCCTTGTAAGGATTTTATTGATACTATGGGAAATGGCTCTACTGAGGTGAACTACAAGAAGCTATGTTCCTTTGGCAAGAAGCATTCACTGGGATTCAAAGGGCTATCACTAGGACAGGAAAAGGATAATAAGGAGAACGAGGCTCCACTTCGGAAACAACCTCTTTCAAGTCCCCACCGCTCTTCTACAAAGATTGGAATTGGGCGAAAATTGTCTCTTGGCCCTCTGACCCATTTGCAAGATAGCAATAATAATAACAGCTGCATACTCTCACACAAGGAGAACCTCTCCACAGATGCATCTAAGTCATTGTTCTTGAGAAAGGAAAAAAAGGAGCAAACAGATCAAGATCGTGGGGAGACTCAGCAACAGAAAACAGTGGAATCCCCAATATCTGAAGTGGTTGTTGTGCTAGATAGTGAAGACAGCGAGGAGGAGAGGGATGGAGTTTTGAGGTCCAAGCTGTTGCTAGGACGGAAGCGCATGGGGAAGTACAAAATTAGAGCTTAATATGTGATGGTTTCTTACTGAATTACTGACCCCCAAATATCTTACGCCTTAATATTTTCTGGTGTATGGTTATTTGACAGCCATTGACCATGCATTCTATGACTCTTTTCATTCTGGAGGTCATTGGTAACAACAGCAGAAACAGCATTGGCTCTACATAAGCTATTACAGGCTTACAGCAACAGTTGTCTGACTGGTGATAACCAATCAGTCAATATGTTAATATCGATAGTGACATTATACTTTATCCCCTTTTGATCAAACTTGGTTAAGCTGGCTTCTTTGATTTCTCTAGTCTGAGGCTTCTGGGCTGATGAAAAGCTGAAGGAACCATGACACCAATCAAATGCATCATAGAGTACTTTAATTCAAGTAGCTTAAAATTCGATTTTGGCCAAAAAGTAATAAACGATCTTCTATAAAAATGACCTACTATATAAAAATCATAAGTTTTGCTGAGCGTAGTTTTCTTCTATTTTTAGGTGTTAAAATAATCCATTTATTTCAGGGTATCCAAAAACTTATAAACTAGTTAGGAATTAGGATGAGATGATATTAATATCGGTGAAAAGGTGATAATGTTGCTCTGATACTAGTGTCACATACACTATGATTTGAAAGTATTGGTAGAAATGAACCTTGTCTACGTAAAGACCAAGCCATATGCTTGTCCTGTAAGTTTTCTCTGACCATAAACTCCACACGACTTTCTAGTAGAAATTTATTTCACACTCACTCAATATCAACCGTATGTTCCTTTATGTGGCCCCAAAGAAGACCTCATCCTCTCGTCCAAGTTCGAACAATCCATTTGACAACGGGCTTGGTAAGTCGGACTAGGCCCGGCCCACGATTTTTAGAGATATGATAAAGGCCCCGTTCTTGTAGGCGACGAGAGGCGGTTGAATAACTGATGGCATCGTTCTGCTGCCTATCTACAGCATCGACATCGAAAACCCTAGCAATTGCCCCTTCATTAAGACCCTCCACGTCGTTCTCGTCAGCGTCAATGAGCCAAAGTTGCAGTTGCTCTCGAGTCTTGATGCCGATGTTCGGTTCTAATCGCCTTAATTTGAATAATCAGAGGGCGCGGAGGCAGGTGGTACGTATGGCACCTGAAGAGGAGAAATTGACTCGTCGCAACCCTCTCGATTTCCCTATCGTAAGTTTACTTTTTTTCAATTCTGTTATTCAAATTGAACTTCCTTTTATTTGTTTCTTGATTGGTTATTTGGCACGGGAGGTTTGATCATATTTTATGCCTTAATTTATACAAGAATAGGAATTCGAAGACGTATCTCTTGAGGGCTTGGTTTTCTTTAAATCTTTGGTTATGATTATGAATTTTGTCTCAAGTGCAATATCTAGAGATTTAGCCATTTGTGTTTGTTTTATGACTTGCATATTTAGATGATCTAATTTAGTTTTTAGAACTCATTAGTTAAAGTGGAATTGGGCAGATTACGATGTGAACTTAATGAAGGTATAATCACAGCTTTTTGGTTGATGTGCTACTTAATGAAAAGATTATGTATAATGAAAACGAAGGGTGCGTTTGTTTCCCTATTTTTGCCCTATCATATTCGTATCATTTCTAAAATACACATTTGATTTTCTATTCTGAAAATACTATTATATTTTGTTCAATTATTTTTATACGCCATAAGTTTGTTAATTTAACTAAACACCTCCCCAAAAAAAAGTTTAAAAATTGACAACAACACCTTCACTCACACACATTTGCCAGATTCGGCTGCCATTACCGCCAGAAGGTGGCCAGAATCTGATATAATGGCACACTACCGGCTGGATATGACTGATAATGCAGTGATATAACATTTTTTGGCCAGATCCACTAGATCTATAGTCAACGGTTAAATCTTTGGCCGTAGCTAGTCGTCAATGACGGCCAAGATATGGTTGTCGTTAACCATCAACGACGGCTATATCTTTGGTCGTAGCTGGTCGTAGCTAGTCGTCAATGATAGTCAAGATATGACCGTCGTTAACCATCAACGACTAAACGTGACTAGATCTAGCTGTCAATGGCCAGATCCACGGTGGATCTGGCTGGAAAATGCCATCTCGGAGCACGATTGGCCAGATCCAGCCACCCTCCAACAATGATGGCCAGCTGTCGATATTTAATGGATGGGTGGGGGTGTTTTTGTAATTTTCAATGTTTTTATTACATGGGTGTTTAGTAAATTAACAAACCTAGATCAGTGTTTTGTTAATTTTCAAATCCTTCCTCGTTATTACCACCTAACTCTTACTTTTTCAAAAATACTATCTAAAATACTAAAACAAACGCACCTGAAAAGATTATGTATCATGAATTATTAATTGAAATTCCGAGCAGCTTGTTCTATTTGAAAATTAATTATGGTGGATTTATTCTCGAGTAAACGACTTCCCACTCAAATAATAGTTTAATAACACTTTCTCACCAATAGACTTTTAAAATACTATTTTACTATCCAAATTTATATTCCGTTTCTGATTTCGACATTGTTGTGACCCTACAACACCACTATTCTTTTTCTCGATCATTACTCACTGAAACCTCTCAAATCTACTCTTGTCGACCTTGCTAATTGCAATCGAGCGATTAGAGATTGCGCAACCGTCCCTCCCAAGTCAAATTTCAATTAATCCCAACAACCAAAATCCAATCTTTCACCTACAAAAGACTCATCGGTCTTCTATCTTCAAAAGCCCCAACAGCTTGGACCAAGTTTGTTCTTAGTTTACTATCAGAATATAAATTTAGGTAGTAAAATAATATTTTAAAAATCTGGAGTGAGAAAGTGTCGTTAAGCCATTATTTGGGTGGGAAAAAGTCTTTAATTCTTTATTCTTTTGGTCTGAATGTTTATTGTATGTGCTGGGGTGGTAAATAATGTCTATCAATCTATAACGCAGGAGTGGGAGAGGCCCAAACCTGGTCGTAGACCTGATGTATTTCCCCAGTTTAGCCCTATGAAAACACCGTTACCACCTCCATTGCCATGTGATCCTCCAGAAGAAGATGAAGAAGAGGAAGAAAAGAAAGAGGAAGAGGAGGAAGATCCTGAGAAGGAAGAAACAGAGAAGCCTGATAATCAATAGGAGTATTCTTATTATGACAGAGCCGGGTATTGTATCCCATAAGCTCGAGGTGTCACTTCTTCCTTTATGTGCTTTGTGTAGAAAGTGGATGATAATCATCCCTGTAAAATGTTGTTGAAGGTGAGGGTCCTCATTTTGTGCTGAAAGGATATGTCAAACCTCTTCTTGGTACTTATTGCAGGCTTATATGTAGGCTTTAATTTCCATTTTGGTAGAATTTTCAGTAGCATAATTTGATGAGTGATTTTAAAATAAAATTTAGGCTGATATTTTTCCTCTCTGTGCTGTTATTTTCTTCCTATGAGGATAGATATACATGATCTACTGAACCGATGTGTGTATATTGATTTTATTGCTAGCTGTCTCACTTCTAATCCAGTGTTTTTATAAGAGCATAATTTCATTTGTAAGAATTATGATACTGGGGATGGTTTTGTCGCCTGCACCGGGGAATCCCAACATGACTAAAGTTTAGCCGTCATCTTTTGGGCATGAGACAGATCGGTGGCTCATCTCTTAGCAGCTGGGTCAAATTCTTGATTGTGTTTTCCCTACCATTTGTTTATTTTGTGTCCCAACCAGTCAACAACTCTTTTCGTATTTGCTTTGCACTTTCTGAGAATGAGAGCTCATTCTATGCCAAATAATACATTAGGGGTCATTGGAAAGTATTCAAGTTTCTTCTCTTCACGTGGCAGAAGTAGCCCAGTACCGTAAGTCTTATATAGGCTGGTGTGTTTGCCCATCTCCAATCCCTCAAACTTAACATTGCCCCTCTTCTCTTTGTACCTCCACCAGTCGGATTGGTACAGTTGACGGCAACTGATGTGAGTAAGCTATATAACTCAACAATCACGTGCTTCTTGAAATAATATAAAATAAAATTATTGGAGAGGTGAATAAAAAAAATCAATGACTCATAATAAATGTAACTCTTAAAACGATAGATTAAGCTTTTAACACATCAGCCAATTACAAATGACGTGGGGTTTATGTTGTACCGAATAAAATCATAAACCCAATCTCTGCCGTGGCAAAACCTTACTGGAAAGGACCACAATATGTGAGTGTTAGTTGTGGCAGTTGATAATCCCCTCTCAAATGTTTCATCTGTTTTAGTTTTAGCTTGCTCCTTGTAAGACTTCAGGGTAAGGACGGGTAGGTCTGAATGTTCGCTGTAGATTGGCAGCTAAACGAACACAAATGGCCAAATGCAACTCTCGTCTTTTCAAGACCAAATCTTCATTTTGAACATCTTTCTTGGTCTTCTTCTTCCAACTCACCAGAGCCATGGTTAGTATGATCATTCCTTTATTACCTCCCAAATATAATATATAATCCAATTGTTGTTTACGTATGTGTAGATTTTCAACTTAAACTCGATCTAATTACTTTGTTTGTCATTTGCAGTCTCTAAGCCATTGATGTCCGGTCACTGGTGGAGCTTCTAACGGCCCTGGTAAGTCAGCCTGCGCCTCTGTCACAACGATACTCTACTACAGTGAACTTCTTCCTCAGAATATTGTTCTGGAGAGAATGGTTAGACACGAGTTACTTGAGCAAGAAAATTATCTTTTCCACTTTCTCGTCAATTTTTGAGATGTTTCTGGTAGACTCTTCACTCTCCTTAATTTCCCAGATTTCAGTTGACTCATCATCTTTATCATCATACAGCCATTTTATTTTCTGACATAATTTAGTCAACTTATGAGAGAAGGTAGTTTCTGAAATTTTCCTACGCTTTCTCAGATTGATTTTTACATGGTGGATCCGGCAATTTTGTGTAATTGTAATTGGTGATTATTTTGAGATTCTGAAATAATTAAAAGGAACAAAACAATGTATTGAGTTCAGACACTTAAACGCAATGGGTGGGGGGATTTTGTCATGTAAAGAGAGATCATAATATTAATTTCTGTTTGAAATAAACATTATTGTTTCATGTGATTGATCCAATTGCAGTAGTGAATATAAATTCCTCAGAATGTGTAGTAGCATGATGTATAGATTTTAAATTCTTAGTTAATATTTATGGTTTGTGGCGCAAGTTCTGAGATGTTGAATGGCCCTGTGCCAACTAATACGAGCTCTTCATCGTTTCGTTGACTTGGACCATCTATTTTTTCATAATGCTTGATACTATTGCATTGAAAGATGAAACCATTTATTTATTAATAAAACAAGTTCAATGGTATAATTGAGATCACAAGTTGATGCATTAACAACTAAAACGTTGTTTTGTCTATATTTTTTTATATTCTAAACTTTTAAAATTATTTTGGAAGTTTCTTGGTAGATTAAAAAATATGAATTGGAAAAATAACTTAAATGTTTTTTTTTTTTTCTTAATATTATGGTAAATACAATTTTTAAGTCCCAACATAAGAATAACAAATGAATTGAAAAAATATTTGTGACAAAAGAAGAAAACATAACCCATAAAAGTCCAAAAAACTTTTCAATGTAGCATGTAAAATCAGCTTTTTATTAACTTAATCAAGGAAAATATGGGTCAAAGTACTAGTGAAATTCATTTTTACAAGCACCCATTTTAATGAACTTATTTGACGTTGAACAAAATGACTCACAACGCAATCTCACAATTTTTCTCATAATTCGACATTTGCAATTAACAGATGAGATATATCGCTACTATCACGTCGAAATTATATAAGAAAGTTTATAAGATTTGACTATAAATATAGTTAACATTATATGCATTTAGGGTCGTAATTTTCATTTCATCTAAAACAATAAAAGTTCACATTTCCGCAACTTAAAATTATTTGAATTTGTTTAAATTTACCCAATTAATCAATTTAATCATTATTTTGTTGGCAAGATACCACAATTACGTTGTAAACAAGGTCATCATTCTCCTCCATCAATCTCATATTCCCGTCAATTATTCTAATGAGATTCTATGCTTTCAACGTTTTTAGTTTGATGGCGTGGTTGCTCCCACAGCTCACAACCATTCAATTTTGGTTATATTTATTTGTTCTTTAACCTCTTTTGAGAGTGCATTAAAGGTTCCATCTCTTTACTCAACAGCCTCGTATTTCTGAGGCTAAAACTGTAATAAAGACTGATAAACTAGTAGATCAGGTCAATCAGGGTTTTATTTCTAAGTTAATCTGTAATAAACAAACGGAAAACGGCATATTCTACCAAGGTGTAGCAAAATTTTAAGTTGTACTCTAATCGTATTTATTTCAGATTCTTACTTAAACTAACGTTGTTTTCATTATTTTAACAAATTCTAAACTTTTCACTATAATGCATTTGTCGACGCTTTCTTTGACAGAAGACGTGCACATGTTAGCAAAAAACAGCTTATGTTAGTAATCCAAACTGGTAATTTTGGTTTTTTCCAATTGATTCTAAAGTCCAAATACTTTCGAGACCACCGTTGGACTCTCATAACATCTTCTACAAAACTCATACATTCACTTGCGACCTTACTCACTGTTTTGACCACCTCTAACGTCACTAACGTTGTTAGATTAAGGGTGAGAATATCAATTTATAATTTTGTTATCCCTTGGGTGGGAACATGTGGTTTGCTCTAACAAAAAATATTAAACATAATTTTTTAAAGCTCGATGCATTAATATGATACATAAACATGGACCGGTGTTTTATTTTACATTGTTGATGCGTGATTTTTGACACCAACTAATCGACACGTGCGTATTGATTGGTCAAGAGATACACGTGATTATGGGTAGAATGTAGAGAAAATGCAATAAGAGCTTTTTGAAGTGGTTCGGATGCTAAGGTAGCAAGTTCTACATCCACTGATTTGTATTAAATAGTGGGTCAAGTCGCAACAGCGAACTGACTACCAATGATTGGTGAAAAGTAAATATAAAGTTATAGAGAGAGAGAAGCTAATTCCCAGTGTAAAATAGCCGAATCCCCTTAATGAAGGGGTCTTCCTCTTTTTATAGTGAGATGAGTGTAATTAATCATCATTAAACATGGGTTGGTGTGAATGTCAGGATTAAATCCGGTTTTACGTCACATTGCCGACCTTCCAAAATGATTTACGTGATTTGGAGCAGAGAATAGACACGTGGGAGCTCCATGCGTTTGACAGACCTGATGTGTGCTTACCATTCTGACAGGAGCAGGTCACACCCTATCACGTAATTTCTTACGTTAGCCCTTAATTTTCCAGGCGTAACACATTAATAGTATAGTATTGTCTTTATCATTTTATTCTTCTTTGGACAAATAAGTTTAAGGATAAGCTCTAGAAGATTAAGTTATAAGAAAATTGGTCGGGTGGTCCATTCTCAATCTGACTTGGAAATGCATTAAGTAATGATTCTGCTGATAGTCTTTGTTTGATTCGATTCAAAATTTAATAAACATAAGTCATTATTAACCCACTGTCAGAATACAACAACTTTATGTTGTCGTTAGTCTCATGTTGCAGACTATAACGGTAGCGGTAAAGCGAGTGACATTAAAATTATAAGAAACCATTAAAATAATGTAAAATTTTAATATTTTATCTAAAAAACTCAGAAGAAATATGGGACATCCTGTAGTTAATATCGTTAATGCGGCCGTTACATTTTTGCTTAGACTCCAAGACAACAGTTGTGACAGTAATGTCTACCCGAACAGGTTGAACAACCCAAACCAAAAAGTCCACCTTTAGTTAAGGGCACTTGATAGTCATCAGAATGCGGTCCAGCTCAGCAGATTCCTCCCAATCAACTACTTGACCTCTCAAGCGGCCACCATCTCTCTAAACAATTAACACCTCCGCTTCATGCGCACCCTATCAGAGCATTTTTATTACCAAAACTACCCTCTACAACGTTATATTCATCACTACATAACAAGTCATTGGAGTGCAGACCAGGGTCATTATCAGGAACTAAAAACACACAAACATTAGTGAAGGTGGAGTGCAGCACCTACTGGTTCTCAGAAAAAGTGTCCAAAGAAAAAACAAAACAATGTCCGAAGAGTTTTCATTTTGAATTTCCTCTTGTTTCGTTAACGACGGATCACATTACTTCATTTGCATTCTTTAACGTCTCTTTTCGTTTTTTTTTTTTTTTTTTTGAAATTTCGCAACGGTCACTAAAGCTCTCCGAGCAAGATGCTGGACGGGCTGTAGGTCGAGGTTTTGCCAAATGGTTTGACCTCCGATCTCTTTTCTGGATATATTAATTCTGTTGGAGTGTTTATGTATTCTTTTTGTGTTAATGTATTATTTGTTGACAGTAAATCGTTGATAAAACTGATCAAGAGTCGGATCGATGTGATAAGAAGAAAGAGGAATGCGACGCAGAAGTTTCTAAGAAAGATATAGCTGATCTGCTTGCTAATGGCCTCGATATAATGCTTATGGCAGGGTAATTTGCATTGCTATTGCTTTTATTTTTTATTTTTAAATTCTTAATTTCAAATTCAATGGAATAGCGCATTCTGCTATTTGATTTTGTCGTTGCTGTGTTTACTTATTTAATAATTAGGGCCTTTTCTGTGTGTGTAATTGAAGATCTTAACGAAGTGTTAGTGTTTTGATTGTGATGAAACAGGCTGACGGTTTCTAGCTGAATTGAATGTGTCGTATTGCTATGATTCGTTGAGCTATCTTGTGTTTTGTACTGAAGCATCTTTCAGTTCTGCAAAAAGTGAGGTACGAAACGACTTGCTAGCCCATACTGAATTGTACCAAGTATTAAGTGGTTTCTTATTTAAATTAATCTCGATGACTTTCCCTAATAACAATTGAATATACCGTGTCTGTTAATGGTGTTACAATTATATAGCTATATTTGCATATTTTGGATATATTTAGTACAATATTAATACCAGTACTGGTGCTTTTTAATAGTCAAATATTGGACAATACATTTATAACATATGTAAGTTAGGCTGCTGTTAACAGAAAAAATATCTATTGCACCTTGTTTTTACCTTATAGGGAGCTCTTTGAATTAAATCAGGTTAAGAAGTTACTTCTGGCATTATAATTATTAGGTTGCTGTTCATGGATTCAGATATGATGTACAATTTATTGTTGTCAGAGTTAGCCTTTAATAGAGTTAAATGCTGATCTGCTTGTTATTATGCTTGGTGATCTGCTATGATGGGAACAATGTGTTGGGGAATTAAAATTTAAACACATTCATATGCTGCTAATGGTTAAAAGGAACATGGAATGAAGTGCTAGAATTTTTTTAGCCTGCACAGTTGAAAAACATGGGCGGCTAATAATTTTGCTTGTGACTAAGTAGAAAAAGAAAATAAATACTATGTGACCTGAAAACAAGTGTTTCCTTGGATACTACATGATCAATGATTTTTAAGTAACTGTATTTCATTAGAGTTAACCTTTGCAAAAAGGATATATTGTATAAATTTACAATTGAACTTCAGATTAAGGTAATTTTGTGTAAATTTTATAATAACAAGTTCTGGTGGATCTCCTGTTCCACAAGAAGTGCTTCACATACTCACTAAATAGCATAGCAGACCCTACTTTGGCCTGGAGCTCATTGTTAGTTCTTTATTTGTGATATTGTTAAAAGTGTTAAGCATCATTATGCTGTTTCTGATTTCATGGTTCCATTTATGAGTCAATAAGGAGAGAAGAATTAATCTCATGTTCATGAAGAACTCCACTTTTAACCGGTCTCACCTGTGGAGTTAAAGTGAAGCAAATTCTGCATGCGTACGATTTGATTATATTTTCTATGTTTGTCCTTGTGTTTCAAATTGAAACACTTGCATTTTTAAGATTTTATTGACACATCTTGTACTTCATTGTTGTCTTTGCAGTAATTGCCCTGAAGCCTGCAGGGAGGCTGTGTCGTCCCTGATGTTTGCTGCTGCAAGATTTTCTGATCTCCCCGAGTTACGTGACCTTAGGCAATTATTTCAAGAGAGATATGTGAATTCCCTGGAACATTTTGTGAATCAAGAGGTACTTCCATAGATATACTCTTAACTAAAATTTTCTAGATCCATAACTCAGTTCTAGTGACTGACCATCTTAATTGTCATTAATAGTTTGTGGATAAATTAGCCGGGAAGCATGCCACAATGGACAAAAAGGTACAGTTAATGCAAGACATAGCATCAGAGTTTTCAATAAAATGGGATTCAAGGGCTTTTCAACAGATGATGTCTAAACCCTCAGCATCTCCACAGGTATGCCTTCTGGATTTCTGTTCATGATTGATGCTATTATCAAATAGGAAGTGAAAGCAAATCCTAGAAATGATAAAACTTGTGGCTGTGTTTGCTTATTTGAAAATATTACTCTTTGCTGCTCCCCGTTGCTAAGAACTTTTGCAATCTGCATCTATTATTGCAGGACCAACCTAGAAGTCTTGGTTCTTCCAATGTCCCTAAGGATAAATATAAATCAGTTAATGGCAAGGAGACTAGTCCACGAGAAAACAAACATGATGTTTCATATAAAGATACACTTCCACGTGCAGGTGATGGCCACAGATTGCACAATGGCAAAGAGAGTAATGCATTGAAAAGAAATGAGCTTATCCTTCAGCCCAGACATGTTTTCGCAAGTGATGGATACAAGCCAGTCGGTGGCAGGGAAGAAACTGTCCATAAAATGGACCATAATGGTGTTTCACTCCAGGGAAGACAAGAATTCATTGGTGATAAGCATGAAAATTGGGATAGGAAGGAGGATACTGCCCTAAAAACAGTGAGAGCAAGCAGTTCATCTCATGGGAGAAGAATGGAACATATTGATGGTACATTCAAGCCACTTGGTGGTAGGGAGAATGCTGTACCTAAGAGAGAGAGCAAGGACAATTTACCTTATGGAAAGGCATACATTGCTCCTAGTTATGCAGAACAGCATTCAAAAAGCAATGGAAAGGACCTACTTGACTCTGATAGTCGTGGTGGACAGCACAATAATGCAAATTCAATAAGAAAAGTTCGGGATGAAGAAATAGTTAAGTTGAAGCCCCATTACAATAGTGCCCTCCCCCCTCCTTATGTTAAACGCAATGCTAAACTGAAGGATGGAAAATATGAAGCCAATATAGGATCTTCACCTTTTCGTTTCGATGGTGAGGGGGTCCCTAAACATCCTTCAGTACCTATCACAGCTAATGGTGCTGATATATCAGAGAGAATCCAAGTAGGACCAGATCATCGTGAACATGAGAGGCATATTGTTGGATCCACGAGAGCTAATACTCCTGATGATGAGAAAGATCGTAATTGTGAGGATGATGCTACAGGAAATCCAATACGAAAAGCAAGATCTGTGCGGAGGAGACACCTGAGATCACCATCTGGTCATGACAATGGTGACGATGCCGGAGATGCAGGAGTTTCAAAAAGAAAATCAAGAAGCAGGAGAAGGGAAGACTCAAGAAGAGGCCTCCAAATCTTGTTTGACGATGAGCACTATCAGAAGAATGAAGAGGAAAGGATGATAGATAAACTGTTAATGCATTATAGTAAGAAACCTTCGACCTATGAAGAGGGGTATGTGAGAAGGAAGTCCAAAAGTCGTCAAGCACATCACGAGGGAAATGATAATGGTGAGACACCTCAGGCTCATAGGTGGGATGTGTCTGATGATATGTCAGAGGTGGCTCCTCCAGTTAGATCAGTTTCCTTTCCACATGAACAGCCAGCTTCATCAGAGGCAAAAAAAGTGTTTACTCGTGCTGCTTCCTTTCAACCCGATGGTAGATCGAATGCAGCTGGACATGTGCATCCAAAGTTACCAGACTATGATGATCTGGCAGCCCGGTTTGCAGCACTGAAGGGGAGGTAAAAGCTATGAGCAAATGAATATCATTAGCAGCATATAGAGTTTTATGTGATAATCTTGTATTTGTCTCCCTGAGTTTGGTTCTGTGTTGAGAAGGGAGAATTGGGGATGGCTTTCTTCCTCTCCATCGCCAATAAGCAAAGTGCCCTCAGAGGGTTGGCCCAAAATAGCAGTTATCCAATGATAGTGAGTATAGTCTTGTGTGTATATGAGCCAGCATTATATTTTTCGGCAGTCATGATTGCACGAACATGTATACTGATTTCAGTTTAACTTCCAGATACAATGGTAGTGAAAGTTGTAATGTTGCATTTACTGAAAATGATAGAAATTGATATTGATGTTGTTTCGCCTGCATTGGTGCTCTTTTTAACGGCAACTACTTGTTCAATGATGGGTTTCTTATGTTTGCCAAGAATTTCATGTTATCAATTGATAATGGCAGTGAATTCACAACTAAGTCTGAGGGCTTGGTGGATCTAAGGTTTATTGTCTTTTTGTCAGTCATTTAGCACAGTTGTGATGATAGTATTGGGTATAAATATAATAATGCAATTAACCAATATAACCTAGAGAAACCCTACTAGGTGAAAACAAAAAATCCTCAAAATTACCATACCCAATGCCCTCTAAGATTCTCTTCTATCTCCTGTCTTTGTCAAAGGTAAACAACTATTTCCCGCCAAAAAAATATTCTCACTCTTCCTTTATTACTGTCCCTTGTTTACTGCCTTCATTCCAGTTTGTGGAGACAGAGGGAAAGAGAGAGAGGTTGAGATGAAGGGCACTTCCAAGGTAATAATGGGAGCAACTCTGGCAATGGTGGTGAGCCTTGCCATTGTTTTGGGTCTAATCCTAGTGTTATTAGTTGAGCTCTACTGCTCCCTCTTACTCCGTCGGCGTCAGCTGAGAAACACCACTTCAAATACCACCACAACCATCAATAGTATTCCTTCTCAGCCTCTTCAAACCCAAGACCGTTCAGCCAGTACTCTCGGTAGCTTCTATTCTCAGGGAGTTCTTGATGCTCCAAGAAGCTTCCTCTTCCCTGCAGTTTCTTCCAAAGAAAACAAGATAGAAAACAAAGGCCGAAGCTTTCAACTTCATAGTGTGCTTGATATCCGTACTCTTGAATCAAACACAAGTCCACATCACGTAGGCATATTATCTCCATCGTCTCCACCAACTTCCTTCATCACTTCACCTCAACCAATTCAAGAAACCCCACTTCAAGTTGGTACAAATAGTAGTTGCCATGCCCATGAAGAAGCTAATTATGGTGGTGATGGAGGGGAGGATTTTGTGTACATTTCCAATCCCATCTATGACAATGATGCTAGCAGGTTGAGCAGGGCGGATACTCCATTTGAGACTCCAGATACTTCGCCTTCGCGTTTAGAAACAGGTGGCTCTTCCGGGGAAGATGAGATAGCTCAGCCATCTCCATCTAGTCAACATTCACTGCCAATTACACCTCCATTGACTCCAATGAAGAAACTTCCAGCAGAAGCTTGTTCAGTTTCTTTGCGGGATGCCAGGTCATTAGGAACTTCACGTAGTGATTCTGTCAGTAACAATGGACTTTCATCTTCCTCATCTGGATCTCCAAGCACATCTCCTTCATGGTGATTGTCTTGAAAACCAAGTTCTGTACTTGTGGGTTTTATCATGTTAAATTTCTTTATTTCTGGGTGAGGTTTTGTGAATACCGTGAGTAGCACAACTTTTCTTTTTTCCAGGCGTGACCATGGCGCTTTCACCCAGGCCACGTCTATGCCAACTGAAATTCTTGACTTTGCAGAGTTACCCTTTTGTTTTTATTTGGTTGTATGGGTGTTTTTGGAAAGTAATTGTCACTTTCTATCTAGCAATAGAAACGAGCTCCGTTTTGGGATTGTTAAGATGCATGTGAAAGGAGTAGAGGTCCCAAATATTTAGTAAGATTAAAAAGAAAAACCTCTCTGTTTTTGAGGGGCCTCGACTGCTGATTTCAATGCCATAGAAACTAATAAAACTGTCACCTGCGAGGCTTTTGTCCGCTTAATATAATGACAGTCCTGTAGTCGTTGCTTTCCATGAGCCGAGAAGCTTCAGCTTCTGCATTGGTTGCATTTATCAAACTTATAATATTCATGAAAATGAAATAGTACAGGATTTGGCCATACTCCTTTATTTAATATTCGGTACACATAGCATTCTGATTTTGCTCACTAGTGGCCAGAGAGTGCTTATATTGTTGATAGAAGGAGTGTCCGTTGGCTTCATTAATTATGTTTTAAGCTTATTGTGAAAGTATCCTGTTATTATTCGAGTTTAGAATCGATAATTTCCACTTAGTAACTATCAATACGACGTAGGAGAAGGGACGACGAAACCTTGGGAATGATCTATTATTATTATTATTATTATTATTATTATTATACATGGTTATTAGCGCATTTCTAACCTTGGCATCTTGCGATTGTGTAACCTTCTATCCAACATGCCAAATTTGTCAGAATTTGAAGATAGTCCAAAATACAAAAAAAAAGAAGTTTTTGATTATCAGGGTATTTAGATCAGTTTGCATATATCTCAATTAATTTCAAGATTCTTCGAACCTAAAAAATCAATGGAGCGAGTAAACCTCCATGACTGTCACGTTTCTCAACTAATCTCCGAGATTCATTGAATACCCTACAAACTCAAAATACCAGGTAAGTTATAATGTGATAAATGACCCTGAGATTCGAACCCCGTGAAGACAATCCCTTTGAGTTGATGCTATGAATCCTTACAGAAGGATAATGGTGATCTTGCAGAAGAGATGAACAACAATTTTCACTTGTGAAGTGGTAATTAACTTGTTGCTTGGTTTTTACCTGGGTGCAAACATTGACTTGTCATTTTCATCTTATCAAGTGAAAGCATGTAGTAATTGCTTTGTGTTATGGATTCGTCGTTCAACAACTTGATACGTACTTGTCTTGAAACCACTTTTTGAATAAAAAGAAACAATTGAAAGTGCTTTTAAAGATTTTCAGATGCTTTTTGAAAATTATTTTTTCTTTCCACAAAGAACTTCCAAACATATACAATTTTTTAGTTCCTTGCCTAACAACAGAGTAATTAGCACATTTTTATTCCTTTCAGTTTCATAATCACTTCTTAAAAACATTTCAAATGTTTACAAAGCTTTTGTACTGAAAACTCCACATGTACATATAATAGGGTATGCAATAGAATCAGTTTGTCCAAAGAGCAGAGCACAACCTTCTGACTTTCATAACCCGGGCCTAAGTGCTCCCATCTCACACCGCAATATCCTTTCAAATAACATTAGGAAGACTTGTCAATAGATATCAGCCACAAAAACCAAACTTACTTGCATGTGTTGTTTTTGAAACATCCGAAATTTAAACATTCTGATTAATTACATCATCCAATAAATCATCAATTTAACTTCATATTTTGAATTAACGCATCCAAACCGATTGGCAAATGACTCCCTAGAGGGTCATGAAACCATGTTCCCACATTTTATTCACTTAGAAGCTATATCTAGTAGATAAAAAGTCTTTGACATTCAGAAAATTACTTACAACTCAAGTAGCAAGTTTGGGCATTATCAAGAGCAGCAAAACCCTCTACTCCCACCTTCTTGACGGCCAGTATGCAATTTCATTCCAGTTTGACTTAAAGGGCTAGCTTTTACCAATCTCTTTGCTGCAAAACAAATGTCTCCATCAGCAAGGAAAGAAAATTCTGAGCAATCCTCAGAATCAGACCTTGACAAGAAATCTATGTATCTTGTTTGAATGACCAAAACTGCCTCAACAATAGTCAAACATTTCAGTTGTAGCTACCAGTAGAATGAAAAGATGCACTTTTGGCCTTATTGCAGACCTCCTGTGCTGCTGAAACTGTAAGTTCAGAAACACTCAGGAGATTTGGCCTTCCTTTAACTTTTTTGATATTTACTCGGTGTTTCTCAAGTTGTTCAATATAGGCATATCAAAAATCAAAAAGCAACAAACAAGCTTTGTGTTTTTCACAGGATACTGAAACAGGACTTGTAATCCACCAATTTGCATCAGATATGAAAATGTGAGACTGCATTCTGTGAAACACACGGTGTGCATACCTATACAAGAAACTGAGAGACATGGTATAATTACCTATTTCATAAAAGAGTTCATTGACATTTTCTGCAGTCTTTGCAGATGTTTCAAGGAAAGATAGGCCATTTTCTTTGGCGTATAGCTCACCATCCTGCAAAATTATTAGAAGGATTCAGATCCAACATATAACACATGTTCTCTACCCATCAAATCACATAAATGGGGTGCATTCATACGTAACTTATTTTGTGTGTGAGTTCCTAGTTTTAAGGGGGCTAGAGTGATGATCATTAAGAACCACCTCTATTACAGTTAAACATAAAATAAGAAGTCTATAGCGAAGAATTTCCAAGCATGGCGGCAAAAGACATCAGGAATTCAGGTTGATGTGTCTGGGGGTACAATACAATCTTCATCACTAAACCCACCACCACCACCAAAAAAAAAAAAAGAACAAAGAAAGATGGCAAGAATGTTAAATTGTGAAATACCTCATATCCCACTTTTCTCTTATCTTTCAAGTCGACCTTGTTCGCCACAAGAAACATTATCAAATTGGGATTTCCTGAAATAGTATGATACCAAAAATAAGATGTTGAATAACAAGTTGTATTTGCATAATTAATCACAAGAACAATCTTCTCAGAAGCATCATTTTGAATTAAAGTTTTAACAAATTGCAGATATTCTGCTTCAAGTCAAAATCCAAGCACTTGAAGTTACCAAGTTGCTTTAGAACTCTGTTAGATGATTCCTTTATTATAGGTACTCAAGTTACAACTTAAAGATGGGCTTCAAATGTACCCAAATTTCAGAATTTGTAGATTTTCTCTATGTAGAACTCCAGCATTTTTTGGCACGTCAATATGCCAAAGCAAACATATCAGAATAGCATTAAAGAAAAAGAGATTGTGTGCATGTTTTGTATATTTACTAGATGAATTCCCATAGTTAAAGAAATGGAGTATGGGGGTCTGCCAAAGAAGAAAGTGTATATGAAGGTTAAAGTGCGTAACATAATAATAAATTAATTGCAAACTTTGCTAAGAAAAAAAAAACACCCCATATTTCTGTCACTTACCTTGTCTTTGCAATTCTTGAACCCATTTCTTAGCTTTTTCAAATGATTCCTAAAAGACAAAAACACCAGGGGTTAAACCCATCATATGGCTTCCCAATTATAATAGCATAGCATTACTACAACAATCAAAAAAAAAAAAAAATTATACTATTATTAGCCCAAACAATATCCCAAACTTCTCTTCCTAATTGACGTGTCATCTTATGTGTCATTGTCATGTTAGTTCATTATTTACAAGTCAATGTCTCATGGGATAACAGATCATTTAGAATAAGAAATTTGGAAAACTAATTTGATGTGTAACATTATTCATCAAGAAAAAACATAAATGAGGTTAAATGTTGAAGTTTACATTGATTAGCTCCATCCATTATCTAACTGGTCTCTCAACCTTAAGGTATAGCTGGTATTTCAGGCAAACAATGAAGTACTTAACCAAAGCAACTACCAAGACAATAGAGAAAAAAAAAAAAATCAGAGATAGGGGCCTATATGACTATGAAACATAGATCTATCGAGACAAATTTGATATGATTGAATTAGCTATGAACATAATACACAATATTCTACAAGTCTGACCCCATAACTCCTTGCCCATCACCTTCATGTCTGCCAGTGATCACATTCTATTTCATACTCCAATATTATATAACAATATAATTCCACAGGTGACATGGGTATAATGATTTCAAAGCAATAAATTAAACAAGCTATCTGTAAGGCCTTCATTCAAGACCAACTTCTGTTACGCATAGATAACTTCTCATAACATGATGCAAGGAAGCAACATGACAAAACCATCAGAAAGTTATTGATTAAGTACCCTGCTTGTGACGTCATAAACAACAACAGCTGCAGCTGCACCACGGTAGTACATTGGAGCCAAGCTATGGTATCGTTCCTGTCCAGCTGTATCCCATATATCAAACTTTACAGTGGCTTCATTTAATGACAAAACCTGTGTGAAGAATGCTGCTCCAATTGTTGATTCCTGCGGTTCATTGTCATGTTAGAGCTCATGCAATTGTAATTTGAGGAAGTTAAAAATATGAAGAAGGAAAAACGTATGAAAGGTAAACCTGGAAATCGAAAAATTGGCCTTTGACAAATCTCAATACCAAACTTGTTTTCCCGGTTCCCATGTCTCCGAGAAGTACCTGGGAAAAGCTTTAATATGAGAAAAACAAATCTCTTTGGTGGATCATCCATGTAAATATTGTGAACAAAAAGATACAACTATCTAAGCATAATAGTGAAATTTAACATACAAGTAAAAGTCAGAGGAACTAGATTGTAAAATTAGAAACAGAAACAAATTAAGGAATTATCAGAACTGATTAAGTCATTGAGCACAAAAACGAGGTTGAACAAGTCAATGAATTCAATAGTACAACAATATGGAAACGGAATTTCTATACAGAAAAGCAAGGGCCTTCTCTTCCTGTAGAAACAAATCAATACATAGCAGAGTATCACAGATGTTATATGTTCATGAAAGCGCATACAGCAGTTGAATAAAAGTTACAAGATAAAACCAATCAATAAACTAAACAGATATTCCTGGCGTAAACAAAGGAATCATAGCTATGAATAACACAAGAATTTCGTTTATCAAAACACAAATTACACAAGAACACTCTAAAGAAAACACTAGATCAAAACCTTGTCACTAATTCATTCACGCTGTGCACATTAATAATTGAAAAAGAAAAAGGGAAGACGTACCCACCAGCTTGGCTTGTATATTCTTGTTGCCAGTCCTCGCCATTACAAATCAAACAAATTTCTAGAATTTTTGCTTTGTGCGTTGGAAATTTTGTGGATCAAAATTCCAGATTAGAAGTTGAGGGGGAGAGAGAGAGAGAGAGAAGGGGGGGTTTTGGAGTTTGAAAGCGAAAGCTTAGCAAGCAATGACAAGGGAAGAGTACGTCAAGGATAACAACGATAAGAAAATTGATATTGGCAGAAATGAAATGGTTGTTTCCAGGGAAGAGCAAGAACGATAGTTGAAGGGAGAAATGCACGTGGCAACTTGGAAGAAGCAGAAAGAGTAGAAGCAATGGGTGTTTTTGTGGAGAAGCGGAGACTGGTAGGTTTTCCGTGGACTGTTAAGTTGGTTGCTTTTTCCTCCCTCTTTTTGTTTGCTTCTTTTGTTATAAAAGGGGAATTTTATTATTACATAAAGTGGCATCGAATTTGTAAAATACACCTACACTATTACATAAGTTATGAATGATTTCAATATTCAAAGATAAAATAAAATAAATGTCAACCAACATTTTATTTCGTCCAAACATCTGTTTATGAGTTTAGGAATCTAATGTGTTGATACGTGATTTTAACACCAACTAAACGCACGTGGAAAATGCTAAGCTAACTCAAAAGACACACGTGTATGAGGGTATTGAACTGAATCAAAGATGGAGAACAATGTTTAAAGTGGTTCAGATGCTTAAGTAAGCGAATCCTACGTCCACTGGTATCGTATTAATATATGAGATCAGGTTGCGTTCAGCGAGCTGACTTATAAGAGATTACAAGAGAGAGAAAAAGAGTATATATGTGCTATTCTAGAAAGAAATTAGCTAATCTCACAAACGGGAGAGGAACCCTCTATTTATAGTGGAATGAGTTGAGGTAATGATTACTGAATCTGGGAGTAGGTCAGATTGTCGTGCAAATCCTTCCTTGCGTCTCGTTGCTCACCTACTCGAGTGATTTACGCGACGTATGCAGGGATTGGACACGTGGATCTTCTCCAGCCTCTCATCAGTCTGGCGCGCACCCACTGCACTGACAAAAACATGTCGCCTGCGTCAGCGTACAACGTGACTGTATCTGAATGACTATAGGACTTACCTAAACTCTGACCGTTTATACTGACAGGGCTTTACGTCAACCCTACTTTTCTAGGCATAAGATAATGTTATCAAGATATTAACCATCTGATTTGGATAAGTCAAATAGACCTCTCACATAACACCATAATGCTGATATTCGGCATTAGTCCAATATATCTTAAAAGGCCCCAAACGAGATGCGTAATCATTATATTTGGGCCTAATCATCTGCCCATAATATGAATGAACAAGAGGTTTCCATATATTTTCATGGTTGATTGTTTTATAAGGAAAGAGATTGAGTCACATTACCTTCCACCCATGACCAAATACTGCATCAGTTTTATAATTCTACAATAAAGACAATGAGTTGGAAATTATACAAACCACGTGTCAGAACTTAACTGGGAATTGGGGATCAGAGGAGGGATGAATAACAGAGAATCCATTACGTGTACGATTGGCCAGATGAAATCTCATCTCTCATTTGCCCATTCTCTCTCAAGTAGCCATACGCTTCTTGTTCCCCTCCCTTATTAAATTGTGCTAGAGTATGTATCAAATACAATAATCGTTTTTGATAATCGGAAATATTCATACTAATTTATATATACTTTAACCAATCTTTTATAACTTTAAAATTATCAATCGAATAAAAATTTTAATAATTATCGTTACTAGTAATGAAAACAAATACAATATTCTTACTTTAACTTCATCCCAGACATTAGTCAATTTTTTTTATTTTTTTTTTCTAAGCAAGATTGTTCATTCAATTGTATCACCATGAATTTATTTATGTTTATCAACTACCATAATTAATTAAAAAAAGAATCCATACCTGAGAATATTATTTGGATTGCCAATAGTGTTTTCTCAAATAAATTAGTCTAAGACTTACTAAATCATAATTATCACGTATATTATATAATTATGATTAATTAATTTGAAAAAGAAGTGGACCAGATGGTGTAAGAAAATATATTCTAATAATACTGGAAACCAAACCATTATTGAGTAGATATACAAGAGAAAAAGGGGGCTTAATTTGGCTGGTTTCAATAGTGACAGACAAGGTGAAATCCATTGGCTTACTCTCTAACCAGGAATACCCAGACCAGAATCTTTATCTTCATATATCTCCTTCCATATTTATATAACTCAGTGCCTTCATTTCTTATTATAATAACTCCACATTCTTGTAGCAATCAAAGATGGCCTCTCAAGGTAAACTCATGGTTAGTACCTCCCCAAAAGGTAGCAAAAGTAGTGAAGGAGGAGCCACCAGTTCACCAAAAGCCCAGTGCTTGTGTTCACCAACAACCCACGAGGGCTCCTTCCGCTGCAAGTTTCATCGCACGTCAGGGTCGTCGCCATGGAAGATGAAGCGATCAAACTCCATGCCTGCCAATAAGTCCGTCGCTTCTTTTTCTCCCAAGTCCGTTGAGTCCACTTGAAGAAAATAACTTCCTGTAAGATCAAATATTAATACACTATTAAATCTTCATAAAAGCCTTTATATCTCTCCACTCTGTAAAAAAAGAATACACTGGTGAACTTCCTGGATTTGCTTAAGATTTGATGGCTTTGATTTATATATATGTATACAGATATATATGCAACTGTTCTGTTTTTTTTTTTTTTTTTTTCTCTTTCTCTTTCTCTTGGAAGAAAATCGCATCTCATGTATACCACTGAATAAATTTTCAAGTAAACTTGCGATGATACCCAGTCATTATTATTTAATAACGGAGTTTTTGGATTTGATTTCTCTGGATCATGGTAGAAAGGTTGTGATCAGTTTTGAATGGCTAATCTGGTTTCAGCCAAACATTCAATCAATCGTGGAATTTGTCGGGTTGTGTAGAGATTAATGTAAGGATTTAGATATAGACTGGGCGAATTTTTTCCACTATTTGGAAAGCTTCGGAGCTCGTGATAATGACACTTGAAGACTTTTTGTTTTTAGTATTGGCCTGATGTTCTCCATATTCAGTGACTGTTTTTGCAATTAAATTCAATAATTGAGATACCCACTTATAAAAATTTAAAGACGAGTCTCATCAATCTACACGTGTTCCTACATCTAGATACATAGGTCCATATTCCATATTTGATAGAGATAGAAAAAGAAAATAGATAAAAAAGGAAAATAATACTGCTAAGCAAACCATCCTGATTGCGCAACAAATCAACTATTTTTTTTAGTTAATTATTCAAGAGGATTTGACCTCGATTCATCTAAATTATTAATAAGGGTGGTCATTGAAAAAATTTATTTATTATCAATTTTAAAATTTTAAATAATTAATTAAGGTACGTATAAATCAACTAACACCTCGATAAACAAAATACTGTTAAGCACATGGATTGGTACATCAAGTCATCATCATGGGAATGGTACTACTTATATAATACTATTAAGCATGGGTATTTTGTTTTGTTTTACACCTGGAGGAGCTAGATTTAAGAAGGCATTGGATTTCAGGGGTGAGAGTGAACGGATTTAAAAACTTACATGATTAATTTAAGGGTTACTTTGACAATCAAGAATGTTTGTTTTTTTTATTAACTTTTCAGATTCAAACTACATTGAGATCACCTATCATATTTATGACTTATTTTTAAATGTTTGATTTATAGGGTATTTAATAGATCTGCGAATTAGTTAAAGTACGTAAAAGTTAGCCTGAATATTACAGTCATCAAAACAAAAAAAAACTGGAATTAATCGAGATACATATAAACTAACTCGAATACTTAAAAAAAAAAAAAATTAATTAATGTACGTCCAAAGTGTTTAACACTGTAGTAAAAAAACAAAAAATCAGCCCAATAAACGTAAGCTGACGTGGATACTTGATCATTTAAAAATTAAAAAAAAAATAAAAACTATCATGACTTTGCTTAGTAAGGCCCAAATGGATGAACACGTATCAAAATAATAATAATCATCAGAATAAGTAAAAGAAAGAAAATAGGTTAATCCAGCTGGCTAGCATAAAAGGCGAAAAGCGTGTGAGCACAAGAACTAATGGATTTTTAAACATTTTAAATATTTCTCTTCTGTTATGCAGTATGTGTCCTTCCCCCACCCATTTTATTTTTGTTGCCACATTTGCCTATGCATTTGACACGTCGCTATGATTGTGAAAAGGTTTTATCTGCTGCTGTAACTTCAGCCTAAGTCTTATATATTTCACACTTCTATCCCTCTTAGTTTATTATCTTGCAATTACACCACTAAAATCATAACACATTATCAGTACGATGCGCTGAGTAAGAGCATCTCCAAATAACTCTTAATATGACCTAAACTCTTTATTATAAAGAGTTTATCCATAAAAATAAGAGTTTAACAGACTCTTTATTTTTTAAATATAAATCAAAGAGTAAGTTTGACTCTCCACATTTAGAGAGTCAAATTTCAATCTTTATCCTAATTTTAAATAAATAAATTATAAATTTCTATACATTTTATTTATGATTTATCTTTCCTATTAAGTTTTTTTTCTTGAAAAAACATATTATCTCTTTTAAAATTTAAAGAGTCCATTGGATTTGAATAAAAATTTTGCTATTTATATTTAAAAATCAATGAAGATGCTTTTTATTTATATGAAATATGCTCTTTAAAATAAAGAGCACCATTGGAGATGTTATTAGAGCATTTCCAAATGATTCTTTATATAACTCAAAGTCTTTATTATAAATAGTTTATCCATAGAAACAAGAGTCCAACAGACTCTTTATTTTTTAAATATAAATTAAAAAGTAAGTTTTACTCTCCACGTTTAGAGAGTCAAATTTCACTCTCAATCCTAATTTTAAATAAATAAATTGTAAGTTTCTATGCATTTTATTTATGATTTATTTCTTCTATTAAGTTTTTTTCTTGAAAAAACATATTATCTCTCTTAAAATTTAAATAGTCTATTAGATTTAAATAAAAAATTTGTTCTTTATATTTAAAAATCAATAAAAATATTCTTTATTTATATAAAATATGCTCTTTAAAATAAAGAGTATTATTGGAGATGCTCTAAGTATAATGGTTTTATTCATTCAATTTATTATATTTCACTTGATAAAACTATCATTATGAGTATGCTTTATGGTTGCCATAAAATGGATTTTCCATATCTAAAAATATGGTTGGTTCCTAACAATAATATACTTGTTATAATTATTTCGTTAACTAACCATTGACTTTATTCTTTTACACGTTTTGCTAATTTTATTACATTTTTTCTATTAATTCTTAATTGCATTACA